CATAGCAAGATTAGTAGAACTAGTAATACGATAGTAACTGAAATAATTCTGGAAAAAGCTACCAGATATCTTTTGTATTCTAGTTTATATAACCATAGTGTTTACATCTCATACAAGGACCAGTTTTCTATGTTTGTGTTTACATCTGATACAAAGATTAGTTTTCTATATTTGTTACAAAAGATATAATTTACATGGGATTCAAATACAGCATAAGGCACACACCCTATGCAGATCATCCTAATCACATAGGATAACTCTTATCTTTATCATTCCCTTGCAAATCAACAGGAAGATCCAACACAGAGAGTTTGTCCCGCAGCAAACAAAAACGATCAGCTGTGTATTCCTTGGTAAAAACATCGGCAGGCTGCAAAGAGATGGGGACATGCTGTAAAATTATGTCTCGGTTGGCCACTTTCTCACGGACAAAATGGTAATCAACTTCGATGTGTTTAGACCGTGCATGGAAAATTGGATTGGATGCAAGGGCTAAAGTACTGATATTGTCACACCAAACAACAGGGGCAACCTGAAGGGAAATTTTCAGCTCACACAAAAGCATACGTAGCTAATACACTTCAGCTGTAACAAGAGCTATACAACGGTATTCCGCCTCAGTGCTAGACCTGGAAACCACAGGTTGTTTCTTAACCGACCATGAAATGAGATTGGAACCTACATAAACACCATAACCACACATTGATCGTCTATCATCAGGATCACCAGCCCAATCAGAATTGCAGTAGGCATTAATAGAGAAGGAACCAGGTTTGTAGAAAAGGCCATGATCGAGTGTATTCTTCAAATAACGTAGGACACGTTTGGCTGCTGTCCAATAAGCAGAGGTTGGAGTCTGCATGTGTTGGCAAAGCTGATTTACTGAGTATGCAATGTCAGGACGCGTGAGGGTGACATATTGTAAGGCACCAACTGTTTGCCTGTACTCAGTTGGATCTGTAAGAGGTTCCCCAGCAAATTTGGATAGTTTGGAGCCTGAGGCACAAAGAGCTCTATAAGGTCAGATGCCAAGGAGGTGTATTCGATCTAAAAAATCAATAATATATCTTGTTTGCCGAAGATGCAACCCGGAAGGAGAACGTGTAGCTTCAATACCCAGGAAGTAAGCCAACTGGCCAATTTCCTTCATGGAAAACTCAAGTTGCAGGTTAGTGATAAGAGATGTAATGAATTCCTGGTCATTAGACGTGACAAGGATATCATCCACATATATTAATAAGAACACATGCACTGAACCGTGATGATAAGTGAATAAGAAGGGATCAACCTGGGAGCTATAAAAGCCAAGAGACAATAATGCAGTAGATAGACGATGAAACCAAGCCCGAGGGGCTTGCTTTAAACCATAGAGAGATTTGTGAAGGTTACAAACAAAGTGAGGGTGCACCGGATGGATAAGAAGATTGAAAAACTAAAGACGTGAAACTGGAAATGCTCTTTGCTTTATATTTCTCCTTGTACCAAACATAAACTACAAACCAGAAAAAGGGAAAAAATTGCTAGTACAGAAGAAAAGAAACGAAAAATATCACTAGCTAGATAAAAAAAGGGAGAGACCAATCATGTTAAACTATTCTATCAAGCCATTGAAGTGTGGGCTCGGGATGGTGGATTGATAGTGGCAGTCTGATGAACACGTCCAAGGATTTGTCGTTTTAATTAGTGGAATGACATGGATTAGTTAGTTCAGTATTGCTGACAAACGTTGCATGCTTTAATGATTACAACAAGATTAGTAGAACTAGTAATACGATAGTAACAACATCGCTTTCTTTTTTGCTTTGCTGCTTACTTTTGCACATCTCTTTTGAGTGGTTTATGAATAGCTTTAGCTTAGTTAGGGCTTTACTTGTGTTGCTGGAACGCTATAACCAGGTTATTTCCAGTAATTATCCATGCTCATTATGGGACCACAAGACAACTGAGCTAAAGCTGTCCCAGTCAGAATTCCCTGGAAATGAAACAGAAACTAATGGAAACAAAATGACTATGAGTTGCATCTTCTTAATTGTGCTTCAATGATATTACATAATTTCGGCAGCAAAACATCCATGCCATTCATTATTGACCTCGAGTTCATTGTCAGGTAGGGTTTTCCCAACCTACAGTGACCATTTCAGTATAAGCAAGGGAGATGGGAGGCAACAAATAATTTGCAATTCTCACGATTTATGTACAAGGCAAAACAAAAATACAAACACAAGTAGACTACAATTTACATGACAAAGTTTCACCTGCAGACTCAACGTGATATATCATTTGATGGCAAGACAGTAGCAGCACTGAAAATTGATTTAACCACAAGCTTCCTCTTGATAGAATGGCTATTTATATCTAAAACTTTCCAGTTGTAGGACGCTGCTTGAAAAATGTCAGCAGCTTGAATTGTCTGCATATAAGATTACATCATTACCCTAAGACGCCCTTTTTCTTTCTGAGTATGGCTCCAGTGATGATTATCTCCTTGAGATCTCGACCAGCTATAGGGTCCTAATATGAAGCTAGGCAGGCAGGCCCACGTGGGCGAGTAGCCCACGTGGGCGAGTAGCCCAAAGTGAACTCAGAGCCCGAAGCCGTTGGAAGTATTCACCCAAGGCAAGCAGCCCTCGAGCTGCCTGACGTGTTGTTAAGATCCGAGACATCTGCTGCAAGGTTTCCTGGCGTATATGGTCTGCCTGTTAAAACAAAGAGTTGATGTTAGATATATCAACAAGCCCAGCTGATTGATCTCATTCAGAAAGCTGGGGAGCATAACTTCAAGCACAACCACTTTTGACCTAAATGCTAGCGAAAACTTGGATATCACCCCCATCTGCATAACAAGATTATTTCATGACACGAGGCACTAATATGCTTTAATGAAAGTTATGAATGCCTTTTCCTCTGAAATTGAAGTGATTACTTCATGGATTGTGTAATGTGTTATGAGTGCACATGCCTAAAGAACTTAGACTAAAACCATTCGAGAATGCAAAGTGAAGGTGCATTATAAGACCTGCTGCACAAAGCGGGCCAGTAATTCTAACTTCTCCATTGCAGTTTCCAAATGAGGCGAGCAACTTGCTTCACCCAACTGACCAGCTGCCACAGTCTCTGCTACATGTCGCTGGACTTTTTCCAAACCTTGTGAAAGAGCATCTTCAGCGTGGTGGCATGATTGTTGAAGATTATAAACATGCACAAGTTGCTGTTCTGTCAAGGGATTCATGCAAGGCAGGAGAATCTGTAATCAAAATAAATTTGTGAATATATCTCAGAAGAAACCGGGTCGGAATAGAAAATATGACAAGGTCCAGAAACACAGAATAAAATGAATACTTGAGTCAATGAAACAACCATTTGAATGATATAAGAACTTATTAATCGTATGAACCAAAAGATAAGATGCTAATCTATAACATATGTTGGTGCCGATACTTATGTCTAGGAAGTGAGAAATGCTCTTTTAACAACCACGTGCAATTAGCATGACTCTATACCAATAGCAGAACCCTCCAAATGAATTATCACTGTATAAATATTTGCACTTTACATGACTAGACAGGACTTGCTGGCTATTATGTGCAAGACAACACAATAACCACAGTTTTGGAGTAACAAGGGCCCTAACCATATTTACAGCAAAGCAGACAATGACCAAAAACCAACTGCGTAATTAATAAACCAGACTGGCAATATGTCATGCACTTCAACAATTACCAGCGTAATGCTCGACGACGTGAAAGAAATTTAATACACCGAGCCGAGCATCAGCGCAGACCAGAATGCAGTGATAAGTTGTCAAAGTTTTAGATCAAGTTTACCCACCCTGGCAAGGTGGTGAGATCAAAATGAGGTATTTCATAAGTTCAACGGCACCCCCATATATAACTTTAAATTAATAATTTTAAATCACTAATTCATCACCTCAAGAAGCTGTGAAGGGCGAAACCCTCCAACCCACAAGAAAAACCTTTCTGCCGATGATTTCCACAAGCCAGACATCACATAGAAAACATCAGCTTTTGTTGCAGTTGCTTTCAGGCGAAAAAGTTCGGAATAGAGGCTCATGTCACTCTCTACAAGCATGTGGAGCTCTACATCACTTATATGAGCGTTTAAAGCAGTCCTCATATCACAAATATGTCTGTTTTGCTCCTCCAACCAGTGCCCATACTCCATCTCAAAAGTTGCAATCCCTGCAGAATCCTCAGAGTCAGCATATGGTTGATAGATAAATGTGAACGAACAAGTTTAAAGTTAAGCCACAAGAAGTTAAATGTCAAGAAATTAACAGAGAAAATACAGGCATTTTTCAGGTGAAGTCATGTATCGACAGCAAGCTATTAGGACCATATTTTAAGTGCTAATTTCAGGCATGTCAAGAGGACAGCAGTTCACCTTTTTATTTGCCATTGAAGTGCTTGATCATTGTTTAAACATAATACATAGTAGTAGTGCATGAAGATCGAGTTACAAGTATATGAATTAATTAATGCAACAAATCGCTTCTACTTTGGATGGTCTCTGGTGCTCAAATGAGCTCAAGCAAACTGAAAATTTTTCAACTAAAATAATTTTACGACTTTACTGGAAACTAAACCTCCTATCTTCTTATATAATTTTGTCATTCTCTAGCAAGAATCAAACAGAGAGTAAACGACTAACTTGGAGAGAAAAATAAAAAAGAAAAAGACAGCTCATATAGAAAATAAAGTGAACCATTAACTTTTAAGAATAATTTAAAGGTCTAAAGCATGAAACATTTGACAATGCCCACTGCAAAGTGAGAGAGACATGTAATTCAAACTTGATAGACCACCATCTGGGAGTTCGGCAGCAGAACAAAAGGTAATAGAGTACTTTGGCAAACATACCTGGGTTTGTAGGTCCTCCAAAACCTAGCTGACTAGCATCTACTCCACCACCCATATACAGGCCCTGTTGTCTAGCTCTGTCAAGCTCCTGCTCCAACTGAATGAGCATCACACGACTTGATTCTAACTGCTGAACATAAGCCTGTAAATAAAAATTAAAATCACAGTTAGTAACAATAAACCTCTTGTTGCTTGTATTTATATGAGCGTTTAAAGCAGTCCTCATATCACAAATATGTCTGTTTTGCTCCTCCAACCAGTGCCCATACTCCATCTCAAAAGTTGCAATCCCTGCAGAATCCTCAGAGTCAGCATATGGTTGATAGATAAATGTGAACGAACAAGTTTAAAGTTAAGCCACAAGAAGTTAAATGTCAAGAAATTAACAGAGAAAATACAGGCATTTTTCAGGTGAAGTGATGTATCGACAGCAAGCTATTAGGACCATATTTTAAGTGCTAATTTCAGGCATGTCAGCCAATAGAGTACTTTGGCAAACATACCTGGGTTTGTAGGTCCTCCAAAACCTAGCTGACTAGCATCTACTCCACCACCCATATACAGGCCCTGTTGTCTAGCTCTGCCAAGTATACAGGCCCTGTTGTCTAGCTCTGTCAAGCTCCTGCTCCAACTGAATGAGCATCACACGACTTGATTCTAACTGCTGAACATAAGCCTGTAAATAAAAATTAAAATCACAGTTAGTAACAATAAACCTCTTTTTGCTTGTAGGCCAGCAGTTTTTAATGCATGGTGGATAGTCCTTCCTACCTTCTTCCGCAAACGGCTTTTACGAGCAGCCTCGCGATTTTGTGCAAGACGTCTTTGTACCTCTAAGCATTCACATGTATAGTCACGAAGCAAGTATTCATATTTTGCAGAAAGAACTCTCAAGGTTAATTTTTTTGTTGTCATAAGAGAAGCTTGTGGTTGAAACTATTAGATGATGAACATATTTGTATCACTTGACATAGTTTTGCACACCACACTGGGGGCAAGAAGTGTACAAAGTGCACATAGAGGTCTACAGTGAATCAAAACCCAAAGGGGTATCATCATAAAAACTTCTAAAAAAAATTTTTTTATAAGAATTTGTTAATTGCATTGAAAGTTTCAGTTTTTATGAACAAAACCAAATCTTTTGAGTTTTCCTTTTAAAATAATAATAAAAGACAATACTTGGAGTAAGAAAGGGTCCCATAAGGAATCAAAGATCTCTTCACCAAGAGGATAGGAAGTATAGTGTGTGGAGCATATTTTGTTTCAAAAGGACGAGTCGAACAAACAAATGGAAACAAGAGCTCAATAAGTCTACAACAGAAAGGAGGACCTATGTTTTCAAAATAGGTAACCAAAAAAAAAAAAACATGCATGCTATATTGTCATAACAGTAACTTGACAGGCGAAGGTGTGACGAAGGCCAAAATAGTTCCAAGTTTTTGAAAAATAAAAATAAAATCCGTTGAGGTCTAAAATCTCAGGTCAACAAAACTACAGAAAAGGATAGGAATTGACAACCAGCACTGCTTCATTCCTTAAGGTAAGATGATTTCTTTTTAAGTTCAAAATGGGCAGGTCACCCGATATTGAGACCATTCATTAAAAAAGCGTAGAGTTTTAAAAAAAAAATTAATATGGGCAGGTCACCCGATATTGAGACCATTTCTTAGAAAAGCGTGGAGTTTTCTAAGAATTTTTAAAGAGGGACCGATCACCTGATATTGAAACCGTTTCTTAGAAAAGTGTGGAGTTTTCTAAGAATTTTAAGATGGGCTAGTCACTTAATATTTAGATGGTTTCTTAGAAAAGCATGAAGTTTTCTAAGAAATCTTAAGATGGGCAGGTCACCCGATATTGAGACCATTCCTTAGAAAAGCATGGAGTTTTCTAAGAATCTTAAGATGGGCAGGTCACCCGATATTGAGACCATTCCTTAGAAAAGCATGAAGTTTTCTAAAAAAATCTTAAGATGGACAACCACCCGATATTGAGACCGTTTCTTAGAAAAGCATGGTGTTTTCTAAGAATCTTAAGATGGGCAGGTCACCCAATATTAAGACCATTCCTTAGAAAAGCGTGGAGTTTTTTAAAGAATTTTAAAAGGGACTAGTCATCTGATATTGAAATCATTTCTTAGAAAAACGTGAATTTTTCTAAGAATATTAAGAGGGGCTAGTCACCCAATATTGAGACCATTTCTTAGTGAAGCATGGAGTTTTCTAAGAATTTTATGATGAGCAGACCCCCCCCGATAGTTGGACCATTTCTAAAAATAAAAAAATGGAGTTTTTTTTTTCTAGATAGGTAGGTCACCTGATAGGGAAACCATTGTTTAGGACAAACATTGAATTTTAGGATGATCAGACAATTTATCTTTACAACACTTACTATGCGAAGCACTTAACAAGTTTTGCTTCGTAAGCATTGTAAAGAGGGGGCATCTGTTGTTACTCAATTTTGGACCCCACGTGCTAGAGATGGTGTATACCCATTTTGAACCGAGTGTAGGAGTGTATCTCATGTTTTCTAAAAAAAATTGACAAAAGCAAAAAAAAAATAATTCTGCTGCTGTTGCAATTTTTTTTTGTTCCAACTTAGGCTCTGATTTTGACTTGATTTTGTACGATATCTGACCATCCCAACTATATTTTATCACTCATGACATGTTGAAAAATTAACCTATACCTTTATTAGGTCCTAGGGATCATTGTTCTTAGGGTAGATTCTCAGTCAGATTTGGATGCTTTAGCATTGTTAGATCAAGAACCTTTTTGAGCAACTAGATTACTGCTAGATTCTGTTCTCTAAACTAATTTTATCTCACTTCGACTCCTTCATCAAAATTATAGTCCTAGAAGTGTAGATGATTTTGGGCTTTTAAATCACTTGATTTCGATATCAGAAGCTCAAGATATTCCTGTTTGAATATCTAACGTGAAGGTAGAGAATTCTGCTGCGAGAAGGTTATTGACCCGAGTCTACACTAAAAAAAATCTATTTTGGCCTAGTTTTGTGATTTTTATTCTTAGTTCATACTCTCAGTCATATCAGGATTCTTGGCATTCGTCAGTTTTTGAGTTATACCCGGAAATCCCTTTTGACCAACTAGATTACTGTATGTTTCTGTTCTATAAAAAGATTTTATCTCACTTCGACTCCTTCATCAAAGTTGTAGTCCTAGATGTGTAGATAATTTTGGGCTCTTGAATTGCTTGATCTCGATGTCAGAAGCTCAAGATATTCCTGTTTGAATATCTAACATGAAGGTAGAGAATTCTGCCGCGAGAAGGATATTGACTGGAGTCTGCACTAAAAAAATTCTATTTTTGGCCAAGTTTTTGTGATTTTTGTTCTTAGTTCATACTCTCTGTCATATCAGAATTCTCAGCATTCGTCAGTTTTTGAGTTAGACCCGGAAATCCCTTTTGACCAACTAGATTACTACCAGTTTCTATTCTATAAAACGATTTTATCTCACTTCGACTCCTTCATCAAAGTTGTAGTCCTAGATGTGTAGATAATTTTAAGCTCTTGAATTGCTTGATTTTGATGTCAGAAGCTCAAGATATGCTCGTTTGAATATCTAGTGTGAAAGTAGGGATTTCTGCCGTAAGAAGGATTTTTTCCCAAGTTTTTAGGGACACAATTGCAAGACGCTTAAAGTTTGAAGACCAATTGCAGGCCAATTTGAATCTTTTTTGGACCAAGGACCAAATAGAAAAGGTGCTAAACATTTAAAATGAACATTTACCATAAATTAAAGGTATTAAGTATTATTAGATATATTATTATAAAATATGCTTTGGTTAAGGAGTTATTGATACTTCAAGTGCAAAATGATGATATAAAACCATGATAAAAATGCATTATTATAAAACATGCTTTGGTTAAGGAGTTATTGATACTTCAAGTGCAAAATGATGATATAAAACCATGATAAAAATGCACTTTTAAGTACTAATCAGGAGCTGATCACATTTTGCTGTTATTAGAAAAGAAAAATAGGGGGAGTTGATCATGTTTTGCTCTCATTTTTATGATTGTCATTTTGAGAACAACCTCTCCCCCGTTTGATTTCTTTCCTGCACCCTCCATCTGATTTCTTTCCTTTTTTCCGCTGCAAATTCCTGTTGTTTTTCCTTTATCATCATGTCTAATTTTTGGAGCTGAAGACCATGTTTTTATTGCCTCATTTTAAAGGGAGCAGCTGACCCTATGGAAGAAAAGAAAAGAGCCACACCATCCTCTAAAACTGGAAAGAAATCAGATGTATGCATAAGATCAAAATCAGAATATTGCAGCTTCTTTTTTGCGTTTTTTTAACTGCAAATCAGTAGGGATTTGCGTCCTAGGATTAATACATTGAATCCTTCCTATATAGAGACATATTTAGACTAGACATAGGCCCTTCTAATGACCTAATAGGGGCAGAAAAAAAAACAGAGCAGAAAAGCGGCAGAGGATAGCATAAAAGAAGAGAAAACCGGAGAGTAAGGTGCAGAAAAAAACACAGCAAAGAGAGAAAAAAAAACATAAGAGAGGCAGAGTAAAAAACGCAGTAAATAGAGAGGGTTTCCTTCTTGTATTCAAATGTTATTGTGAGGAAAGAGGAGAGAAAAAAGACAAGTCGGAGAGGGAGATTTGCTACTAAACCTTGACAACAACATTCGCTTATTTTTCCATTTCATCTTCTGCAAAAAAACATTGAGACCTGCAAGTATAAGTCTTAACTTTCTCCTCCTTTTCTACCTTTAAATCTGTTGTGTTGATGTTTTAAAAACCTGTTTTGTCTTTGCTTTGCACATTCATTTTTAGACTACAATGAAAGCTTCCTTTTTGTTGTTCCTGACATTTTAAACTGCTTTTTTTCCTTCTTTTTTTGAATTTCTGGATTCTACAACATGTTTGTAAAACTCCAAAGGGTATTGGCCAATATTCCAAAAAAAATATAAAAATCTTATTTTGGGGGGAATTTATCTATTTTTCACTGTTAATGTTTAGATAAAGAAATCCTTAAAGGATGAATATCCAAAATATTATTAGGAATAATTTGTTATTATTCACTATTAATATTTGGATAAAGAAACTCGGAGTGGTAAATATCAAAAATAATTTTCTAGGAATAATAAATCCGCACACATCCTTGAAAGAAGTCTTGATTATAATCAAGGACATTTCAATTTTTTTACTCCACGGTTTACAAGCCGTGAGAGTGCAAAACACTAAGGCAAAAATAGGCATTTAAAACACCCTATATTTCCAAATTTTTTTCCCTCCTCCTTGCGATTTACGAGTCGCAAACTCTTGAAATACTAAGGGGAAAATGAGCTTTCGAAGTACATGGAATCTCCTTGGATTTCTATATTAATAAATTTAGTTTGAATCAAACCTAGGAAAACTGATGAGATTAGAAAACACCAACACCTTAGCAATTATAAAGCAAACCAAATACCAAGCAGCTTACCTTAGGTAGGGCGTACTAGGGGTGCTAACACCTTCTCTTTACATAACCAGTCCCTTGCCTTAGAATCTCTGAAAGACCAGTTAGGGTTCCTAGTGATCAAAATATTAGGTGGCGACTCCCTTTTACACAAAATAATAAAACTAAAAGACCTCGAAATCAATCGATGGTCACCACGATGCCGCGCTCCGCTCGCGAGGGTGCGACATTAGGCATCCCAAAAGTTTTCAAAATATGATTTCTTGTATTAACACCAAAGTGGATAGGAAGGATCATCAAGGCCACAACTAAAATATAAAATTAGGAGAAAAAACAGCTTTATTAGATATGCTCACCAGCAAAATATTCCATGGATTATAACAATTAACAGAATAGTTGCCCATATATTCCAATACATTGTAGACACATGCAAGTTCTAGAGGGCATAATATATAGCACACACATAGAGGACTTGTGTGTATCCTTGTAAGTTAATAAAAAAAATATGATTAATTCATGAAATAAATTGTTTATTTATTTTATTTATATTTATTTATGTATTTCGCTTGTTTATAACATTAAAAAAATATATAGTTATTTTCTTGTGCTTATTTAATTACGTCTAGATAAATTAAATTGTTGCATTAAGTCTAGATAAATTAAATTGTTGCATATAAGAAAAGGGAACATGTGACAATAGGTCCATCTGTATTGATTTTCTTCTATGGAAAGTTTTGCGAATTAAAACCACTTAACTTAGAAAATTTGAGCACAATCTTGACCATTGGAATTAACATTTTTTTTTTTGGGTCCACCGTTAAAATTGCCATCACCATTATCATTTAGGAAAATCACATATAGATTCATTTGAGCATTTAATTTTTTTTTGTTGTTGTTTTGTTCTTGTACTATGCTGAAAACTCCAATTTATTGATGTTTGGGTATCCTTGACCTTTAGTGCACATATCAGAAAATCCATGATTTGACTCTTATAATATAAACAACATCAATATAATAAGATTATGTATTTCAATTGTTATATTTTCTTATTTATTTAAAAGCTAGAATAATAATAAAACAAATGGTCAAATAATTTTTTAAAATAAAAAAATATTATTTTAATATATTTTTTATT